AGATCTTGTATTTTTGGTAGAGAAGTACGACAGATTTTATACTACACATAGGACGCTACGACTATCGAGAGTGGCACACTAGTACAAGGGGCTTTGCATTGTTCCGCATGAAGCTGCCTCACCGAGTGGCACGCATCAAGTCCATCGGTAGACCGACGTCATGCCGAACGCGGAGATGAGGAGAAACATGTGGCCACTTTGGACCGGTATCCATCGTTGAAGGCATGCCACGAGGTTCAATACCTAATCGGGAAAGACCGGCTACGTCGGTGTGGCATGGAGCGATGCGCGCGCTTGGACGAACGGCGTCAAGTGGCCCTATTGTCTGCCGAATGCGGGAGATGTCCCGAGATCTACGCGCAAGGCATCAGGACGACCGTGCCGAGCTTCGAGTAAGCGTTGCGCACCGTCGAAGATGTCGAAGAGCGTCGAAGGCAAAATTGAACTGTTGGGAGACTGAGTCGAAGTGCCGGGCGGGATGCGACTGCCGAAAAGAGGTGTATCGTGGCCCAGAGGGGCTTGGCGCCTATCACCAGTTAGTCACAAAGGCTGTCTTCCACTTGTCACCGGCTTTGATCCAGACATTGTTGTATCCCCATCGGACATCGAACTTTGTAAAGAGCGTGGCACCGCGGAGCTTATCCACCATTTAGGCGATCAGCGGCAGCGGGTAGTGATTCTTTACTGTGATCGCATTCAACCGGCGATAGTCTTGTACGGGTCGAAGCGTCCCTTCCTTCTTTTTGATGAAGAAGAAGGGGGACGAAATGGGCGACTTTGACTCCTGTATGTAGCCCTTTGCCAGTTGCTCCTTTAGGAACTTATCTAGCTCCTCCTGCTCGTTGTTTGACAGGGGGTACACCTTCGAATGGAATGTCGAATAGCCAGGCACGAGTTCGATCGCATGATCATAAGGCTTCCTTTTGGGTAGCCGTTCTGATGCTTCCTTGGAGAAGACATTCAGGAACTCGTGGTACTGTTTAGGTACTGACTCCTCGGTGGTCTTAACAACCTTCTTTTTGATCTCCTCCTCAGCGAACAGCTGGGAGTACGTATGTCCTGCTGCGACGAACAGCTGAGGAGCACCGGGAAGCGTGATGCCTTGCTCCCAGGCTTCGATCAAATCGGCTTTGTCCCACTCAACCTCCACCAGATCTTCTTCGGGTTCGAAGTCCGGGAGTACCTTACTCCGGCAAGCGCCTATGACCGACCGTTTGGACTTCGGCGAACGTCTGCGTGCCGTGGGCCTGACCCCCGTATCACGCGCAGTCACTGCTTGCTCCATCCGGCCAGTCTTCCTGGCACTGCATGTTTCAGGACATCACGATAATTTTAGGGAGCCCGATTCCCAATCTATTTTGGGGTTGTGCTCACGTAGCCAATCCAACCCAACAATCACATCCTCCGGACCAATGTCCGTAACCGTAAACACCGTCTTCTCGACGTGTTCTCCTATCTGCATCTGTAGCACGGCTACTTCCGAGATGCTTCTGTCTTTATTCAGGGTGGCATCGATATTGTAGAGCGGAATGGGTTCCTTTAGCCTCTGCGTCTGCACCTTATTCTCTATGACAAATCACTTGTTGATAAACTTCGTGGTGGCTCAGCTGTCCACCATAGCGATCACGTCCTTGTGCCATCTTTTTCCTTGGAGTCAAACTGGAATGTGAAAGTGCTGGGACCCCTGGTCCAACTCATACACCATTGCAGAAGACAATATGTTATACTTATTACAAGATGTACTCGGCCCAACGTGTGCAGCACGTAGTGCGGACCGGATCAAAAACCCTCCTCCTTCATTGCCCAATAATGCTCGAGCTTTTTGCGCATTGACTTGACCTGTGCTACTAAGTCTGCCAGCTCGGAACCTTCCGATTTCGCTGAAGCGGCGCTTGTACTCGCTGAGGATGAAGCAACGGGGGCGCTTGTTGCTGCCTGGGTGGAACCCGAGGCAACCGTAGCCTGCGCGTTGGCGCGTTTTGTGTAAGGCTTGTCCTTACAATTGGGGCACTCGAATCATCGGTACCCTTGCTCCCACAGCCAAAACAACTGCTAGGGAAGTCTCCTTTTCTGACGGCCGCATTGATGCTGGCCAAAGCTGCGTGCGACTGGGGTGCACCACCACATGCCCCTCCGCGTCCTCGACCTTGAGCCGAGAAGAAGTTGTTCAGCTCGGGCTGATGGGCCCAGCTGATGTCGCGGATCTGCTCGACTTCGGTGGCACGCTTCTCAGCTTCTTGCCACGTGGTGAAGGCCTCGAGCTCAATCTTGCAATATACGTGGGAGGGGATGCCGCTCAGGTACTTGTCGCATAGTTCCAGGTCCCCATACCCGGAACGGTTCGCTGCTGGACCCTTGAACAGCGCAAAGAACTCCGCAGCAGTGCATTTTTCACGGACCGACATGTTTGCGCAGAGTTTTGTCAACTCTACTTGTGTCGCCGCCTGATCGTCGAGATTGCCAAAGCGAGCCTTGAAGGCGGCAGTGAAGGCTGCTTTGTTCCTGAAGGGGGTTGTGACCCCTTGTACACCCATCTGCACCGATGCGAGTTGGGTGAAGTAAGGAGTGGCCCAGATGCGGGCGTCGCCATCGAGCAGGCTCAACGCAACCTGCACCTTGAGTTCAATGGTTGTCAATGACATGTTGATCAACCAGTAGATGTGGAGTTGCAACAGGAACCTGTCACATTCAATGATGGTCTTGCCATTGTATCAGAGTGGGAGGAGGAGCTTTAAGGTCTCCTTGTTGGGGGTGGTTGATGGAGAAGACATTATCGGCATCGGGGGGGACGGAGAACACTGCGGGGGCGGAGGCGGCTGTTGTGTCCCTCCGCTGGTTGGACTACGAGGGGAATGAGTGTGCAAGCGGCCTCACGGCAGAGACGGCGGTGAAGGCGCTGGAGGAAGTTCGGAGGTGGGGTTATGTACGTCAGGGACTGCTGATGTGGAGGCGAGCACTGTCGGCGAGGCGGACCGAGCAGAATCCATGTACTCAGACTCCAAGACTCCTTCTTCACTCACACTCTTTTCAGACTCAGGCTCTGGCGCTGGGTCTGGAGGGAGATCTCCTCGCGCTTGACTTGGACTGGTGACAGTTTGGGGAAGGCGGGAGCTGGGGGAGACAGGGCAAGAATGCCGCGAGGCAGATCGAGATGCGAGGGTGCTTCGAGAACTGAGTGGATGTTGAGCCCTTCGGATTGCCTTATAGCGCAGGTAATCTTGCTTGATCGATCGGGGTGTCCGGTTGGGGCATGGCTGCTGCTCACAGGTGAGGATGATAGTCTCAGGGCCATCTGGGATGTAGACGTCGACGAGGTCCTGAGAGTTGAAGGCGTGAACTTGGCCTTCACAGGCAGCCACATTGGATGGGGGGAGGACGGGGAGTGGCGTGGCTTGAGGTCAAGCGACAGGGGAATATCTGAAGGCAAGGGGCGTTCGACTGGTTCTCACCGAAGCGATGGTGAGCGAGGCTCAAACCTAAGGCTAGGGACAAGAAATGTATTAGTTAGTAAGGTAAGGAGAGAATACATGAGGGGCTTACTAACCTAGGGACAAGAGGTCGAAACTGAGGTCCCTAGGGCAGCAGAGGCCAGTTTATATACAGGGGAAGATAAGGGCAGGCTGTGCGCACTGGTCCGTGCGCAGCTGGTCCGTGCGCAGCATGCTGACGCGGCCCTGGGGGCTGGTGAGTCAGAGAGGCTATGTCAGCGGGGCCCGAGCTGTGCCGCGCACTGCCGCCCCATCTAATCTAATCGTACAGTAGATAACGACGCGTCTGTATCAGGGAAGTAGTACAGAGGTCGCGGGTTCAAGCCCGCGAAAAAGGAAAAATTAAAAAAATGGCTAGACACCGTACCAACTCGTAACAGGGAGGTGCGCGTACTATGAAAGGCCATGCTAGACTAGCTTACACCTATGGCGCCCAAGGAGACACTAGGGTTCACAATTCACGTGGGGCCCAGTACTGCTTTGGGCTAGTATGCAGCAGGAACCTAGTCCACGCGTCCGTGAGGACATGTACTGCCCACTGAAGTGCAAGTACTGAAGAGTTCGTTCCCTTAGTGTTGGCGATGTATGTATACTATCTACGTATTGTAGGGTACAGTAAGGATATGCACCACCCAACCTATAGGAAAGGAAAGTGTGAGTGTATGGGTTCTGAGGAACGCTGGCCACTATGGGAGTTTTGACCTAATGTCGCGACTTGAGGTCAAGCGACAGGGGAAAACCTAGAAAGCGGGGGGCGTCCGACTGGTTCTCACCAAAGCGATGGTGAGCAATGCTCAAACCTAAGGCTAGGGACAAAAAATGTATTAGTTAGTGAAGAAAAGGAAGTAAGTACAGTGTCACAACTTGGTACGGCGCTTAGCCGTTTTTTTAATTTTTTCCTTTTCGTGGGCTCGAACCCGCAACCTCTGTACTGCTTGCCCGATATGGACGCATCATTATCTACTGTACGATCAGATTAGATAGGACGGCAGTGCACGGCACAGCTCGGGCCCCGCTGACGCAGCCGCGCTGACTCACCGACCCCCGGGGCCGCGTCGGCATGCTGCGCACGGACCAGCTGCACACGGACCAACGTGCACAGCCTGCCCTTATCTCCCCATGTATATAAGCCGGCCTCTGCTGCCCTAGGGACCTCAGTTTCGACCTCTTGTCCCTAGGTTAGTAAGCATCCCTTGTATCTTTTCTTACCTAACTAACTAATATATTAACTTGTCCCTAGCCTTAGGTTTGAGCATAGCTCACCATCGCTTCGGTGAGACTTAGTCGGACACCCCCAGCCTTCAGGTTTTCTCTAGTTGCTTGACCCCAAGTCGCGACATTAGGTCGAAACTCCCCAAGCTGCCGGCGTCCTCTCGGGACTCCCACATTCACTTTCCTTTCCCACAGGTCGGGTGGTGCGCACCCCTACGATACCCTACGGTACATACGATACGTAGGTAGCCTTACATACATCGCCACCCCTAGAGGAACGAACTCTTCAACACCTGCACTTCAGTGGGCGGTGTTTGTCCTCACGGACGCGTGGACTAGGTTCCTGCTGCATACTAGCCAAAAGCAGTACTGGGCCCCACGTGAACTGTGAACCTCAGGGTCTTCTCGGGCGCTGTAGCGTAAGCTAGTGTAGTACGGCCATTTTTAGTACGCGCACCTCCCCTTCCTCCCCCCATCCAACGTGGCTGCCTGCCAAGGCCAGATCCACGCATTCGACTCTCAGGACCTCATCGACGTCTACATCCCAGACGGTCCTGAAACTGTCCTCTATTGTTGCGAGCAGCAGCCGTGCCCAAATCGGACACCCCGATCGATCGAGGAA